ACCGGTTTCGGCTTCCCATTGATTTTTAGGGAGAGTGTGAGAGAGGGAAAGACGGGGAGAAACATTGATGTGAGAGGAACACATCGATTGGTTGCCCCCCGCATGAGCCCCGACCAGGGCCTGGGCCGGGGAGGAGCCTGTAACCATGGCATGTGCCCTGGACTGGAAGTGAGCCAGAGGCCCTTGGGTCTGCAGGCGCCCTCTGACCACCGAGCCCAGCTGCCAGGGCCCGTCCTGCGTTTCCCTGTGGCTCTGGGCTGGTGTGACCTGCAGTCACCAGCCTGGCTCTGGGCCACCAGAAGACGCCCAGGTGCTGCCCGGAGGTGAGGGAGTCGGCGAGGTCACCGCGCCTGTCCCTGTTTTTGCCCTGGAGGCTGAGGGTGCGGCTGTGGGAGCCGGCGGCTCTGGCACCGGCCCAGCTGGCAGGCAGCCGGAGGCACTGGCACTTCCCTTCTCGCTGCAGCTTCCCAGAGACCCTTGGACTTCGGCTTCAGAGCCACCGTCTGTGTAACGGGTGCGTGGGCAGGGATCACACGCGCCTGGCGGTGGGCGCGCCCGCCTGGCCGGGAGCCCAGGGTTTGGGGGTTTAAGGAAGCCATTTCTGGGTGACCGGATAGGCATGAGGTAGCTTTCATCATTCAACATCAAAACAACACTTTTTAGAGGAAAATGGCGTGCCGTCCGCCTGGGAAGGCTGATGCGGCCTTGAGCTACCCGGCCCCCGTGGCAGGGTGTCTGCCGTCGCTGCTGTTTGGAGGTGGCCACTGTCCCCCAGCGCTCAGCCCACCCAGGGCTTTGGGGGTGGTGTTTGTTTTTTTATTTTATTTTTTTAAGTTTTGTTTTTTTTAGCTTTATTTATTTTTACAAATATTTTTATTTCCGAGAAAAAGGGAGGGAGGGAGAGAGAGAAACATCAATGATGAGAGAAAATCATTGGCTGTCTCCTGCACACCCCACCCTGGGGCTCAAGCCCACAATCTGGGCAGGCGCCCGATCAAGAATTAACTGGTTCATAGGTCGAAGCTGAACCAACCCCTGAGCCTGGAGCCGGAGCCGGAGCCGGAGCTGGAGCTGGAGCTGGGCCCGCCAGGTTCTGAGAGAGGCCAGAGCCGGGCTCTTGTGGGAAGCCCCGAGTGCATTCGCATTCCGGTGAAATGCCAGCCGCTCCGGCGCTCAGGGTGGCTGGCAGCCCGGCTCAGGGTCGCTGGCCCTCTGGCAGCTTCTGTTTTGAAGTGGAATGCTTGGCTCCGCGATGCTAGTGGTGGTGATTCTTCTTCTCCGCTGGGCCTTCCAGGCCGGTCAGGCAAAGGGGAAGCCGGGAGGATGTTTGTGAAGGGAGGGACCGATGGGGAGCGGCTCCCTGGAGGCACTCCCTTTCCGTGATGCCCTTTGAAATGCCACCTGTTCCGTATCGCTCCTCCCGCCCCCACGGCCCCCGTGGAGGTGAGCGTGGGGGAGACTGGGGCCTCCATGGTGTTCTGTCACAGGCCGCCTTACGCAGAAGCCAGAAGCGTTTCTTAAAACAGCCGCGGGACACGCCTCACCAGGCCCAGAGCCCAGTGTAACTGGGTCAGAGGTGAAGGACAGCAGGTCCTGCACCAGCAGCTACGAGAAGCCCCAGGAGCACCCTTTCTGCTGGAGGCCATCGCTGCCCACGGTTCTTTCCCACGGCTCTATTTTTAATGCATTTTCATTGATTTCAGAGAGGAAGAGAGAGAAACATCAATGATGAGAGAGAAATCATTGGTGGGCTGTCTCCTGCATGCCACCTGTTGGGGATGGAGCCCACAACCCGGGCATGTGCCCTTGGCCGGAGCCCCATTTGGGACCCCTCAGTCCATAGGCTCCACCCACTGAGCCAAGCCAGCGAGGCTCCCACGGTTCTTTTGAGGCTAGCACCCCCTCTGCCCTTCCTAACCTCCTCGGGGTTCATCCTCCTCTCTCTACCCCATGTCCCTCAGTGTTTAATGGGGGGGGATTTTTACCCCCCACTTTCAGATGTGGAAGGCAAGGCTCAGAGAGGGTAACTGGGTGTGCCAAGAGCAAGTCCCTGGAGCAGGACACTGGTTCAAATAGATCCCCTTTGCCCGGCTGGCGTGGCTTCGTGGTTAAACGTTGACCTAAGAACCAGGAGGTCACGGTTCCATTTCCAGTCAGGGCACAGGCCTGGGGGAGGGATTGTGGACGCTGAACAGGGCAGAGGGAATAGCCACTTCCCCAGGCCCTCCTGGCCCCCGGGCTCATGAACAGAACGAAGGGCAGCAGATCCTCAGTGATCTCGGAGGACCGGGCTGGGGCCTGGGCAGCAGATCCTCAGTGATCTCGGAGGACCGGGCTGGGGCCTGGCCGCAGAGGTGGTCAGGTGAGCACAGGACCCAGGAGGGGAGCGCAGGACTGGAGTGGCTGAGAGAAGTGGCCCCTTTGGACAGAGAAAGGAGGCTTTCCTGCTGGGGCTGAGTCTTTGTGTCTCTCCCCCTCCACCCCTCCACAGGAGGCAGAGAGCACTAGAGGGCAGAAGGTGTGCAGATTAGGGGGGGGCCTGGGCCAAAGCAGGCCTCCATAGGAGTCGGGGGGAGTCTGGGCATCGGTTCTTCCAGGAAAAAAAGAAAACATTTTAAATAAGAGGCCTCTCAAGAGTACACGAAAACTCACTGTTTCGTCGGAAACAGCAGCTGGTAGCCGGCCCGTGCTCATTTCCCCAGACTCCCAGCTCCGGGCTCCATGGGGCGGCTCAGTCCACAGCTGAACCACCTCTGGGAACCGGCCCCGATGGCCGGGGCTGCCCGGGGCTGGTGTGTGGCGGTCTGTGCGAGACGTTGCTGCCTGCTGGGCAGTGAGGAGGCTTGGAGCCCAGCTCCTGTTGGGGCTCTGGGGCCTCCGCTTCTCTGCCAGGAGCCCCCTGTTTCTCTGGCTTCGTGGGGCTTCTCCTCCAGGCCTTCCCCCACCCACCAGCACTTGCAGCTGTTCTGGGTTCCTAGCTACCTGGATCTGTTTAGGTTGTCATGGTAACCCCTGGTGCAGCTGCTCTGGTTTGAATGAAGGCCGTCCTAGGAGGGGAAGGGTCCGGGCGGAAGCTGTGGGGCTCAGGCCCAGGGCATTTTCTTTTATTCCCGTGCCCTCTTCTTTGGCCAACTTCGCGGGGCATTCATGAAGGCCCTTGGGACTCTGAGTCCTCCTGAGGGGTTTCCCAGGAGGGGCAGAGGGGTCCACATCAGCCTGGAGGCTGGCTGTCTATTGTGACCCTGAGGCTGGTCTGGGGAGACAGGCCAGCAGCTTCACTCCCGCCAGGTCCAAGGAAGCCTCTGATGCCATGTTTGCGCGATGGGTAAACGGCCAAGCTGCACAACTGCTGGGAACCTGGCAGGTAAGCCAGCCTGCTGCTGGCTGAGGCTGATGGCGTTGCTTAGAGCCACTCGCTGGACCCGCCCCGCCCAGCTCCTCAGCCCCGGGGCGGCTGCCCTGTACCCTGTTTTGTCATCGAGGTCAGAGTCCTAACTGTGCAGGTGCCTGTCCCCCTTGAAAGCATATAAAACCTGATAAATGAGCAACCAGGGAGTGGCGTGGTGATTTTGCCTTGGCGAAGGGTGGGGTGTAGGACTGCTTGGAGCGGGGGCCTCTCCTCAGGTGTGGCGGAGCAGTGGGAGTCACGCCGTGTCCTGGGTGCGGGCTGCCTCCGGCCAGTTGGGAAGGCTGGTCTTCCCGGCGGCAGAGACGATGGAGGAACCCTGCCCGCGGCCTCTCACCGCCCGTCCCTAGTGAAGCCTCAGAGCCTGAGCTCAGCACAGCTCTGGAGCAACGGGCCCCGTTCTGAGACGGGAGCTCAGGAGAGCTGTGTGGGAATGTGTCCTTCGCTGGTTCAGTGACCCTTCGCCAAGAGTGCCTCAGGGCCCAGCAAGCAACCAGCTGGACACTGCCTCCCCTCACAGCGCTGATGATCTGACTCCTCCCGGGGGTCGGCACTGAGCAGAGCAGAGCGGAGAAGCCCTCCTGAGGGTTTTAATAAACACTGAGCAGCTACAGGCAGAGCTTCACCATCCCAAAGCAAACGCCTTCCAGGCTCCCCAGCCTGCAGCCAGCTGCTTTCCGGGGGCCTGGCAGAGGGAGGACGCGGTCCCGTGTCCACGGGCCTTTGGTCCCTCCTGGGCTGTGGCATGGACATCCCAGCGAAGTCTTCACCTTTTCCGATTCACTTTCACCCTGGTGTGGGCGCATGGGCAGTCGACGGACCCCTTCCTTTTGCCCATGTGCCCACCCGGAGGCGGAGGGTAACTGCCGTGTGGTCTGCTCAGCGCCAGGGAGCAGCGCTGGCCGGGGCCCAGGGCAGCGTGAGCGTGTGGGCGGAGGGACCAGCGGCCCGGCCCTGCGAGCTCTAACCAGTATGGCTCAGTGGATAGAACACTTGCTCGCAGACTGGAGAGTCCTGTCATTCAATTCTGGTCAAAGGTATGCACCTTGATTGCAGGTTGCCCAGCCGGGTCAGGGCGTGTGCAGGAGGCAGTGGAGGCAGCTGATTGTTCTCTCATTGATTTTTTTTAGTTGATTTTTTAACAGAGAGGAATAGAGAGTTAGAAACATCCATGAGACAGAAACATTGATTCAGCTGCCTCTTGCACACCCCGCACTGGGGGATAACCAAGGTCCATGCCCTTGGCCGGAATCGAACCTGGGACCCTTCAGTCCACAGACCGACTCTCTATCCACTGAGCCAAACCGGTTAGGGCTCTCACCTATGTTTCTAACTCTCTATCCCTCTCCCTTCCTCTTTGTAAAAAAAAAATAAAGTAAAAAATATTTAAAAGAAAGAAAAGAAATAGAAAGGTGTCTAAGACTAGCTACCTGGGAGGCGCTAACTACTCTATGTAGCCACTAGACTAGAGACCATTCATTCATCGTCGGGCCGCCGCGGGGACTGCCAGGCGGGGCGGCGCACGCGCACGCGCGGCTCGCGCTCGGCGGGGGCGCGCTCGGCGGGGGCGCGCACGCTCGCGGCCGCGTGCGTCACAACCCGGGCCGGCCCCGCCCGTGCCGCTGCCCGCTGCTGGCTCCCTGGGCGGCGGCGGCGGCGGCGGCACCGGCCGGGCGAGCGGCGGGCGGTCTGCGGCCCGGAGACGCGCAGCCGCGCGAGGAGCCGACCGCGGTCGCGCGTGAGGAGACCACGCGGGCGGCGGGCGCGAGGCCGGCGTGAGGGCGGCGCCGGCGGCCGGCACCCCGGTCCCCGCCGGTCCGGTCCCGCCGCCGCCGGCATGAGCCACATCCAGATCCCGCCGGGGCTCACGGAGCTGCTGCAGGGCTACACGGTGGAGGTGCTGCGCCGGCGGCCGCCCGACCTCGTCGACTTCGCCATCGACTACTTCACCCGCGTGCGCGAGGCCCGCGCCCCGGCCGGCGCGCCGCCCGCCGCCGCGCGGGCGCCGGAGGGGCCGGGCCCGGGCGCCGCCGGGGCGGAGAGCGAGACCGAGTCCGAGTCCGAGGAGGAGGCGGACGGTAGGCGGCGGGCCGCGCGGGGCCGGGGCGGGCCGCGCCTGTCGGGCGCCCGGAGGGAGCGGGCCGGTCCCGCCTCCGAGGAGAGCGCGCGGGGCCCGGAGCCCCGGAGGCGGGGACACTCCGCCCGGCCCGGAGGGGGGAAGCCGGGGAAGCGTTCGTCGGTGAAAAGTTCCCGGGAAACTTCGAGCCTGGACGGGAGTGGAGCGGAGGGGAGAGCCTGTGCTGCCGTCCCCGCCGCGGCGGTTTAAGGGGTTCGCGTCCCCCTCTGCCCAGGTGCCCCCCGGACACCCACTGTCAGGGATCTCCGAGGGGAGAGAGGACCAGTGAGGGCTGGCCCTGCACCCTCCACCGCCCGGCCATGTGCCCAGGCCAGAACCGAACCTGGGACCTCCGGTCCGAACCTGTCCGCGGGCCAGCTCTATCCACTGGGCCACACCGGCTAGGGCTTTCTAATGTGTTTTTATTTCGTTATTATTTTTAAAATTTTATTTGATTATGGTATCACATATTTGTCCTCACCCCTCCCCCCCATTCCTGTCCCAAACCCCTCCCCATGCATGTCCCTATTCCCCTGCTGTCAGAGACCACTGGCTAGGCTCCTATGCATGCCCACAGCCCTCTGGCTGATCTCTCCTCCTTCCCCCACCCTCTCCTGCCTTCCCTCTGAGGTGAGTTCGCCTTTCTTACATTGCAGACCCCGGGGCTGTTACCCGCTCTGGAACAGCCCGGATTTCACAGAGCGGGGAAGGCTGCTGAGAGAGGAGGTTAGAGACCAGTGTTGTCAGATCCCCCCGGAAAAGAAAGGAAAAGAGAAACCTCCCCGAGCTGAATCCACATCAAGTCGTGCTGGCCAGGCGGTCCCTGTGGGCCGTTGCTGTGCAGGCGTCAGTGCTCGGGACCACTTCCCTCGGTTTATCCAAGCTCTCCGTGTTCCCTCAACTTCCTGCCATTAAACTATGGGTCTTCACTCAGCCCTGGGACGCAGACCGCCGTTCCCCAAATCCGGCCACGCATTCGCTTTGTGGTCAGGCCTGCTTGGTGGCAGCAGTCTCCCGGGGATCCATCTTGTAAAGGCTTCGTTTCAGGAGGGGCCCTCGGTGTGTCTCACTGTCCTGTCTGGAAATCACAGTTGGAAACTGCTTTTCAACATTTTTTTTCTCTGGTCTCTTTTTAAAAGTTTATTTTAAAATTAGAGTTGACATACAAAACTAGTTTTATGAATACAGTGATGGGACCTTTATCTGTATGCCTTGCAGGCGTCTTCAAACTACAGCCTGCGGGCCACATGCGGCCCGCAGAGGAGTCTGATCCGGCCCGCCAGGTTTTTTGGGCAGTGAGCGCAGCCGAGGTGTTACAGTAGGAATTAGTAGTTCATATAGTCCGGCCCTCCAGCTCTCTGAGGGACCGTGATCTGGCCCCCACTTTAAACAGTTTGAGGACCCCTGCCTCCCGTAAGTCTGGTCCCGCCTGGCAGCACACAGTTATTACAATACTAGAGGCCGATGCACCAAGTCTGTGCAAGGGGCTCCCGTTCCCCACCCCTGCCCACCCCTCTTCCTTGGCCCCTGCCCCCATGGCGGCCACCTCTGCCCCAGCCCCCACATCGGTTTAATTAGCATCTTATGCTTTTGTTATTATAGATTAGTGATTATATTTCCTATTCTGTGCTTTATGTCCTCGTGACTATTTTTATAACTGGTATTTATACTTAATCCCTTTCACCTTTTCACCCAAACCCCTCCCATCTGGTGCCCACGAATTGTGACAGTTTTTATTGGACCCTGGGACTACCTGGATAGTTGGTAATTTGGCTGAAAAGAAAGATTTTAGGAATTATTCCCAGATGAGTAGAATGGTGTTTACAAGTTTTGTGTAATGTCTTCATTCTTTGTGTGTGTTTTTTATTCCTTTTTCAAAGTTGAGTTGGCTTGGATTTTGGTGACCCGTGCTTTATCTTACTGGTATTTAAATGCTTCTTGTTTATGTCTCTCCAGTGCTGTGCTGTGTGTAATTATAGAAGTCGGCACGGGGAGAGCTGTTTACAGATAACAGACTAGAGCCTTACACACAGTGAGGTGACTGCCTCACGCTCAGGAGCGAGGCTGTTGGGAACGAACAGGAAGGAGCCCGTGTGGGGAGCCTGCAGAGGAGGGAGCTCTGCTCACCGCTGGAGGAGGGAAATGGTCGGGCTGCTGTGGGCAACAGCCTGGCGGCTCCTCAGAAAGTTAAACATAGAATTCCCGTACGATCAAGCAACCCTGCGGCTGTGTTCCCCAGAGGACTTGAAAATAGGGAGTCGAGCAGGTGCTTGTTCACTGCAGTGTTGCTCACTGTAGCTGAAGGCAGGAACAGCCGTGTCCCATCAGTGATGAGTGGATAAACAAAACGTGTTAACTGTTTACAACGGAGTAGTATTCACCCCCAAAAAGGAATGAGATTCTCATACTGGTACATTCATGCCACAACACAGAGGGGCCTTGAAAACATCCTGCTAGTGCAAATGTGCCAGACACAAAGGCAGACATTGTATGATTCTGCTCACATGAGGCGCCTAGAACAGCAGATTCATAGAGAAAGTCAGAGACGTTTCTGGGCCCGGGGCCGGCAGTGGGGAGTTAGGGTTTAAGGGGAGGCCCGTTGCATGGAGATTCGTGCAGCAGCCTCCCTTCCCCTGGCTGCCGCACCCGTCTCCTCCGGACCCGGCACCCGGCACCCGGGCCTTCGCTCTGGCCGCCGTGGAGAAGCCACGCCTCCAGGCGAGGCTTCTCAGCCAGCCGGTCAGGCTTGGCTTCCCCTCTCCAGCCACAGCAGAGAAGCCAAGCCTCTTCAGTCTTAAATCTCCAGTCTTCACTCTGGGCCTGCATATGCAAATTAACCCACCATCTTTGTTGGGTTAATACTCATGATTGGCTGGTGGGTGCTGTGGAGGTGCAGTCAATTTGCATATTTGTCTTTTATTAGTGTAGACCAGTGGTTCTCAACCTTTCTAATGCCACGACCTTTTTTTTTTTTTTTTTAAATATATTTTATTGATTTTTAACAGAGAGGAAGGGAGAGAGATAGAGAGCTAGAAACGTCGATGAGAGAGAAACATCTTACTGCCTCTTGCACACCTCCTACAGGGGATGTGCCCACAACCAAGGTACATGCCCTTGACCCGAATCGAACCTGGGACCTTTCAGTCCGCAGACCGACGCTCTACCACTGAGCCAAACCGGCTTCAGCACGACCCTTTAATACAGATTGTCAAGTTGTGGTGACCCCCAGCCATAAAATTATTTTTGTTGCTGCTTCATAACTGTCATGTTGTTACTGTTAATGAATCGTAATGTAAACATCTGTTTTCCGATGGTCTTAGGCGACCCTGCTAGTGGTTCTCAATCTGTGGGTTGCAGCATGAGGAAGCTTGAGGACCGCTGGTGTAGATAGTTGCAGAGTTTCTGTTTGGGATGAAGAAAACGTTCTGAAATTGAATAGGGGTGATTTAAAAAAATATATATTTTTATTGATTTGAGAGAGATTAATGGAATGGAGATGGAGAGTTAGAAACATCAGTGAGAGAGAAATCAGTTGGCTGCCTCCTGCATGCCTCCTGCTGGGAACCAAACTTGCAACCCCAGCATGTGCCCTGACAGAATCAAACCCATTGACCTCTTGGTTCATGGGTTGATGCCTAAACACTGACCCACACCTGCCGGGCCAGAGTTTTTTAATGGAGACCAAATCTCATCACTCTGCAGTTTAATCCCCTCATTGCAAGGGAAGTGAATCCCCTCTCTTCTGTGGTCCGCACAGCCCTGCGAGGTGTGGTCCGTTTTCTCTGCCTTTTCTCCTGCCCTCCTTCCCGCTTAGCTCAGTTCTCACTGGCCAGGCGTTCCCTCCCCGGCTTGTCTGATTGCTTCCCTGGCTCTGACCAGCTCTGCCTTTAGGCTCTGCTTCGGAGGGCCTTTTCCATATTTACCTGCCTGGAGCGGCCCCTCTGGTTCCTTTGGGGCTCGGTAATGATGTAACATTCTTATTGGTTTTGGATTGTTTTGTTTCCATTTAGCCCGGCCCACAGTGGGTCCTCACAGACCTCCTGTTGAGTAAATGGATGAAGGAGGACGGGGCTGACCCCGGAGCCTGAGGGGCCACAGGTGGGAGCTGAGGGAGGGTGGGCTGGGCCTTGGTGGTGGGAGCAGAGGAGAGGCCAGTCGGTGAGGCCGGTGTTGAAGTGATTGGCCCAGTGTGGTTCTCAGAGAGGCTCCGGGGGTCGTGGGGCGAGGTTTATGGCAGTGGGTCAGGGAATGAGTGAGTGAGTGTGTGTGGGAGTGAGTGAGTGAGTGAGTGTGTGTGTGTGTGTGTGTACGTGTGCGCACTCGGGAGTGAGTGAGTGTGTGTGTGTGTGTGTGTGTGCGCGGGAGTGAGTGAGTGTGTGTGTGTGTGTGTGTGTGCGCGGGAGTGAGTGAGTGTGTGTGTGTGTGTGTGTGTGTGTGTGCGCGGGAGTGAGTGAGTGAGTGTGTGTGTGTGTGTGTGTGCGCGCGGGAGTGAGTGAGTGAGTGTGTGTGTGTGTGTGTGTGTGTGTACGTGTGCGCGCGCACGCGGGAGTGAGTGAGTGAGTGTGTGTGTGTGTGCGTGCGCGGGCGTGCAGGTGGGGGCAAAAGATGAGGCAGGGGACGATGGGGAGTGCTTTTTGAGGAAGGGAAGCCGGACCGGAGGGAACTGAGGTTGTGAGACATGGTTTGGTTTGTTTGTTATGGGAGGACCACTCTTTGCACGCTTGCTTGCTGAGCGGAAGGAGCCAGTGGAGAGGTGGCAGCTGCTGGAACAAGAGAATGGCGGGCCGGTTAGGACGGGGGAGACGGGAACAGCACATCCTCAAACTGGACAGGAATGTTAAGTAACTGAGCAGTGGTTTCACTTACAGGTACTTTAAGATTGTATGTCTTTATGCCCTTCATTCAAAGCCTTGTCTTCTACTTACTTGATTCTAACAAATGTGAATGTTAAAGCTAAAGGAA